TTGTTCCATTATTATCATTATTATTATTATTATCATTATCATTGTCATTACATTACTATTACTATTATTATTACCATTATTTACTACTACTACCTTTACTATTACTACTACTACTATTACTATTACTACTACTACTACTACTACTGTTACGATTACTTCTACATCTATTACTGTTACTATTTGCGTTATTGTAATATGTATTTTTATTAATCGCATCATGGTTTCCTTTATATTTTTATATCATTTTATATTATTGTCATTATCAAGTTATTATTATCATTTCCATCATCATTATCAGTATAATTGATATTATCGTTAATGTTACTATTATTATTGCTTTCCTTATTATCGTTAAAATTTCGTTGCAGTTGGTACAGGCATCCTCGTCATAAATAAGAACATATTGTCATTGTTATTGTTGTTATTACTATTATCACCATCATCATTATTACTATTATTTTTGTATAATATTTATCATTATTTCTTATTAATAGTATCGTTATAATGCTAGTAATAATAATAATAATAATAATAATAATAATAATAATAATAATGATAATAGTAATTATAATCATAATAATAATAATGATAATAATAACAACAGTGATAATGATAATTAGGATAATATTGATAACAATAATAACAATTCCGAATAATATTATTATTTTCATCATTAGCCTCAATATATATGCTATCATAGTACCATTATTATCATTATTATTATTTCTGTTGACCATTACTATCATCAGTTTTATTATTTTCATTTTTAAATTTTTTTTTCCTTATTTCTCTGATGGTGATGCTGATGATTATTAGCCTTTTTTTTATACTGCTTCTTATTTTTATTCTTATTCTCATTCTTATTTTTAATATAATTAATATAATTAATCATAATTATAGCTGATATTACTATTATTATCATTATTGTTTTTGTTATTATCATTAGTACTATTTTCCTCATTGTTTTTTATCATAATTATGCTATTGTTGATTATTACAACCCGTATCATAATTATTTTCATGGATATAATCATAAAAATAGTAATTATTATCAGTATTATTATTATTACTTTTGATATCATTTCTACTGCTATCATTATTATTTTTGCTGTTATTGTTACCATTTCTGTTATCACTATTATCATTATTTTTACTGTTGAATTTATTATTAGCAACTTGATTTTCTATTACTTTTATATTACTTTTAATTGCTAATATTATTATCATTATCATCATTACTTTTATCACCTTTACTATCAATACAATTGATAACACCATTATTTTACTATTACCTGATTTTTAATATTATTAGTCATTCCATATTCATCCTTACATTTTCATCCTCATAATTATCATAATTATTTTTTATTATTGTTATTATTATTATCATTATCTTTATCATTATCACATTATCATTATCGATATTATTATCGTTATTGTTATTACTGTTATTATTATTAGTTTTGTTGACATTAACACTATCATTATTATCATCATTATTACTATTATCATTATTGCTATGACCATCGTCTTTTATCATTATTATTATCATCATCATCATCACCATCACTAATTAGTAAAATTCTAATGATCATTCTCATCATCTTTATTTTTATTTTTTTGTTTTTTTATTTTTTTTTTGGTATTGACACTATTATTGTTATTAGTACTATCATTATTGCTTTTATCATTATCATTATTTTTATTATTATTATTATTATTATTATTATTATTATTATTATTTTATATTAATATTACATTATTAATCATCATCATTATTAATACCATTATTATCATTACCATTATCACCAACCTAATCACCATTATATAATATGATTATCATTATAACCATTGTTATCATTGTTATTACCATTATTGTTTCTATTATTATTACTATTATTATTATCATCATTATTATTATTACTATTATTACTATTATTGTTATTATTACTTTTATTATTTCTAATGTTATTATTATCATTATCATTATTATTGTCTTTATCATTATTTTTATTACTATGATTACTCTTTTCGTTATTGTCATCATTATCATTATAGTTGATATTATCATAACTACGATAACCACTATTACGATGGTAAGTGCCTTAAATGCTATTATTGGCACTAATATTACTCTCTTCTATGATTATTGATTATTCTATCATTATTATTATGATTTTTGTTATCAGTTTAATATTACATATATTTAATCAACCTATTAACTTAATGTTTTTTCTTTCTATTTCTTGCTGTTTCCCTCCTCATTCTCTCATTCTCTAGTCATTCTTCTCACCATTTCCTTCATTCATGATCTTTTGCCTGTTCTGCATTTCTGGCTTCCCAATGCAACAGCAATTGCATCAGTACTAATAATGAAAATGATAGTAATGACAATAGTAATATTAACATTGATAATGATGTGATGATGATGGTGATGATGATGATGATGATGGTAAGGATAACAAAGATAATAATAATCCTTAACGCTACTACAACATGAAGTTAGAGAAAAAATAGTCAGAGCCCCCCCTCAAAAAAAAAAATATAATAATAATAATTCAGAGCAATAATAATAATAACAATAATAATAATGATAATAAAAAGTCAGAGGAAAAAAAGAGTCAGAGCCCCTCCCCCCCACCCCAAAAAAATGAAATCAAAGCAAAAAAAAAAAAAAAAAAAAAAAAAAAAAAAAAATATATATATATATATATATATATATATATATATATGATATGATGATGATGATGATGATGATGATGATGATGATGATGATGATGATGATGATGATGATGACAATAATAAGTCAGCAAAAAAAAGAAAAAATAGAGAAAAAAAATGGTCAGAAAAAAATGGTTAGAGAGAGAAAAAAAGGAATAAATGAAAAAAAAAAATGTCAGAAAAAAATGATGTTAGAGAGAGAGAAAAAAGGAATAAATGACTAAAATAAACGGAACAGAAATGAAAACGAACGTAGAACGAGGGAACGCCGCTGTCCCTCCGTCCTCACGAAGCCTTAGGGATCCGGGGTCATGTCTCCCCCCCCCCCCAACCAGGAGGCTTTCGGAGGCAACCCCCCCCCTCCCCTCGATCTCTCCCGAAGGAAATCGGACCCGAAGGATTCAGCTTTGGGGGGGGGGGTGCCTCCGAAAGCCTTCTGGTGGGTGGGCGGGCGGGAGGGGGGGGGGGGGGGGTTGCGTGCGCGACCGAATATCAACAAATTGTATTTTATCATCTCACGAAATTGTTTTCTATTTGTTTTAGCTACATGGCTCAGCGCGGTGTTTGAGTAAGGATTTGCAGTATAGATGCTGAAATTTATGTAACGGTGTTACCATCTATGTATTGTGTGGATGTGTCTGTCACTCTCTCTCTCGCGCGCCCGCTCTCTCTCTCTCTCTCTCTCTCTCTCTCTCGCTGTCGTTGTTTGTTTGCCTGTATATGTATATATGTATATATATATATATGTGTGTGTGTGTGTGTGTGTGTGTGTGTGTGTGTGTGTGTGTGTGTGTGTGTGTGTGTGTGTGTGTGTGTGTGTGTGTGTGTGTGTGTGTGTGTGTGTGTGTGTGTGTGTGTGTGTGTGTAGTATGTATGGATGGATGGTACATATATACACACCTACGAGAAAGAAAAGCGTGGTGCTGAAATAATCGGATCAGAGCGATTGAATGTATGAGAGAGAGAGAGAGAGAGAGAGAGAGAGAGAGAGAGAGAGAGAGAGAGAGAGAGAGAGAGAGAGAGAGAGAGAGAGAGAGAGAGAGAGAGAGGGAGAGAGAGAGAGAGAGAGAGAGAGAGAGAGAGAGAGAGAGAGAGAGAAGAGAGAGGGAAGGAGGGGAGAGAGAGAGAGAGGGGGGGGGAGATGAGAAAGAGAGAGACAGGGGGGATGAGAAGGGAGAGGGGGGGGGAGTCCGAGAATGTACTCCGAATAGACTTTTTTTTACGGGGGATTTCAACCGGCAACTCATTCTTTAAGGCTTACTACAGTTATTGTAATGCGGGATACGTGGTTAAAACATTCGCGAAAAGTAATAATTCCTTAATATATTAGGAATATTTAACGTACCGTCCCCTTCGCCTGGTTAAAGTCCATCTGTTTGTCTAAGTCTGTTTACATACATATTCATCAGTCTACCACCGTACTACTTGCAGGAGCGAAGGAAGAGGATAAGGAATCGGCTACCAGTTCTCTATGAGATGCTCTGTGACGCTTCTCATGACACATGGCTGAATTGTTTGATTTTCTGTTTGATAAATGTCCTGTAACTGATACTGTATATATAGTCCACACTAAAACACACACACGCACACGCACACACACGCACACGCACACGCACACACACGCACACGCACACACACACACACAATCACGAAAGCATCAACCTACATATCATGCATGTTTGGCCTCCTCTCGAACTGTGCAGCATATTTACCATGTTCCTTTGGCCCCAACTCACGTACACGTCGCCTGTCTGGAGCTCGAGTCTCACCATCGCACAGACGCGGATGATAGAACGTATGTAGTAGAAACGAGGACTGAAAATCCCCCTTGGCCCTTCATATCAAAACTATGATGATGCTCTTAGTATGCTGGGCCTAACAACCCTCGCGGCTACTATAAACAAGTAATTGAAGAGTTTAGCCGCAAACTCCTGAAGAACCGCTGTCAACGTGTCCTCGTCCTTTCTGCTGATCCTTCAAGGCGCCTTGAGATTGATTAGCAAGCTTGTCCCAATACACTCAAGCCATAGCCCCATCCCAACAATTATTTAGATTATCATAAGGCATTAGAGTTTACATAGCATTCAAATTGGTGCATATCTTTACTTATTACTTTTATGCAATATATACTCTTCTAAATGACATGTCTATTAGAATATTACCTAGTACTTCCAGTATTGTCAAATTTATGTTTGCAACTCTCACTTCTTCATTTCTTTCATATTACTGTAATTGTTTACCAATAGCATGCATGTTTTCGATTGACTTTATGTCTAAGCTATTTTAAAATGTATATTTGCAATTCTCTAATTACATATTTCCAATATCCTGTCAATTGCCAGGTAACTCACTACCCATGTGTTAGCACAATATGAATCAGTCTGTTACATATCCCTTTATTCTTTACTGACATAAGTCACAAATTTGGGCAAATATCCAAATCAAAAACACCACACCAAGTATTAGTGATCAAGTCCCCATGCCGCTAGAGTCTCCTTTTACAATCTCGACGCTCCCTTGGACGAATTCCCTCAGATAAGATTCCAGCTGGTAAAAACACACTTCCTCAAAACCTTCCTCCATTCTGATAAGGATGCGGCGAGACTCGAGGAAGTCCTTGAGAATCACTACTTCCTCCAAGAATCTCACGTGGACTTCCCACACGTTGTACCATTGCAGGATTTGGCCGCAGACCTCTATCACGCTTGGCAAATTACCTGATGCTCGTAGGAACTGGCACATTCTGTCACATTTTGTTTCTGTTGCATGTATGCCTTCACTGTACAAGAGAAGAGAGACGACTGCAACAATGAATTTCTTCAGGAGAGACTTCTTTGTCGAGGGTAAAAGATGGAGAGCTTTACAGGAAATGTCGATCAGCAAATTCCTTTGTTTGTTTCCTTTGCATAACAGCTTCTTTGCCTCTTCGGCTCCACTGAAGTATATTTCCAAAAGAGGATTTTTATCTGGATTAAGCTCTGTGATTTCCTCAATGGATGGAATTTCATTTTCATCAAGAAACAGCGTATTAGTGACAGTCAAGAACTTTGTAGCAACATAATCGGCTGCCCAGTGTTCTTGGAATCTATTGTGTGGGAAAGACCATGTCTGAACGATTGACAACCCTTGTCGCGATCTCTTTGAGGTGAGAAATCCACCTAACATTTCCTTATAAGGAAGATTCAGGTTTTTGCATTTTGCTTTCAGTTCTTCAACTGTTTCTGGCCAGAGGTCATGTTCACATCTTTTCAGACCACGAAGAGCAACTTCCTTTTGAAACTCATGATATTCTTTGATTTTATCTTCAACGTCTATGGTGCCTTTTATTATTAGCCTCTCCTCAGTCTTACCCATCATGAGCTTAGTCAAGTCTTCGTAGATGTCAGTCGAACTCTGGTCAGGAGTCAGGATTTCACGTACGATTAGTAATTTCATAGTTAATGGGACATTCAATACATTCTTTTCCAGATTTAAGTTGTCGAGATTGGTGAGAATGTTGTTTTTCATTCGGCCTCTGCGATAAGGATCCTCAATAATTTCAGATAGTGCATTTTCAACAAATGTATCACACTTTTCCTTGCTAATACCTTTCATTTCTACATTCAGTACACTCTTCTTATTCTGTATGATCTGAGTTAGTTCCTTTGCATAACCTGGTCTTGTTGTTATGATTAAACGCATATTCATATTGATGTTCAGAAGATCAACAACAAGTTTTTTTGACTCTTCATTCGCCTCATCATAGCCATCCAGAAGGAAAACTGGAAAAAATGTTGAGAAGAGTTCCTGAAAGTATTCTATCTTGACTCCTGATTCCTGAAAGGTCTTTGGAAGCAAATTCTTTAGCATGTCCCTCAAGCAGCAGGTGTTAGAGCCTCGAAATGGGAAGTACATCAGATGTGAAACCTTTTCGAGTCCTGTGATTTGTGAAGAGTCTTCTACCCAGCTTTCGATCATGAATTTGAAGAGGGTGGTTTTGCCCATGCCTCCTGGACCTGAAATGATTAACACATCAGGCAAGCTATCATCTCTACGCTTCACTTGGAGGAGCTCCTTCTGAGATATGATTCGAGGTTCTTCAGAAGCCAAGGACCATATCATGTCCTCTTTAATTATCAAATTGGTACAGCTTAAACTTGGACGCATTTTCAGTTCTGGGAACAGCCAAGGAGCAAGAGTCACATCCCACAGACGAGGGTAAAGGTCCTGCAACTCTTGGCAACTGTCTTTTTTTACTCTTTCCCGGATGGTTTCATGGAAAACTCTAATTTCGTCTTGGAGTTGCGGCAATAAGGCCAAATCGGTAGGATCTAACGGCTCTCGAACTTTTGTTAGCAGTTGTTTAAAGTTATCGTTGACTGTTTGCTTCAATCTGTGGGCATTGCGAGGATGCTTCCCTGTAACAATGCAGGCCTTTGAGAGAATCTTCCACAACAGGTGCTTCAACCATTCCAGCTTTTTTTTTACTTTCGTGTCTGACATTTGCTGGAGGTCCTTCTTGTGTGCATCCTCATTCCGTTCCTCTTTCAGGATGTAGATGAGATATTCCAGGCTCTCCCCCAGTGCTTGTGAAGTCCAAACTGGGGAGTTACGTCTTTTCAACCCGCAAAAGTTCTGAAGAATGCTATAGAGAAGAGATATGTCATATTCCCTAAAGGCATTGTCCGTATCTAAAGTAGAACTGACCACAGTATCTAGAATCTTCCGCTGCCTGGCATTAAAAATATCTTTGTATTTCTTATTAGAAAGACCAAGACTTTGAGAATATACTTTGACATTTTGATTTCCTCCCTTGTACATCCATTTCACTACCTCTGCCAACACGCGCTGACCCTCTATGTTCACTGCTACCTGATATCGGA